GTTTGATGTCGTATGCTGGCCACAGCGGAAGCGGTAGGAATTCGTCTGCACAACCCTCCCCCCCACCCCCTCTGTGTGCAGGCGTTTAATCACCCTGGCCCACTTCCCACACACACCATATTGTGAGTGGTCCCAGCGATTCGACGACCTAACAATGATGTGATAATTGAAAAACAAAGGACTATTGCAACTGGGCGCGACTTACGAAAAGGATTACTTTGAATAGCCACAATACAAAGATTAAGATCGGATGAAGTACGAGATTCGTCCACGAGCCTAAAACTATGCTTTTAAACAGAAAGATATTTCAGTATTCTATGCGGGCTAACCTCAGTTCGATTGAATGGTTCTTTGGTTAATTCGTTATTCGATTCAATAACTTGTGAAGGCTCGCCCAGAGCAGCTGATTGCACTGCGAAATGCAAGCTGCTCGAGGCTTCCGAACGAGACGGTGTATCACCTCCTTCTCGGGGAACAACAAAAGATTTCCTTGAACTAGTACTGGACCAGCTACCACAGGAGAGACCAGAAGATGACGGAACTGATGAAGGACCGGAGTGTCGTTCGGATTGCAAATTCTCAATTTGGGAAGAGATGATAGAATTCAATTTGTAACGCCATTTCTCCGTTAGCGAATTTAACGTTCGCCGGGACTCGCCGTCTGTGGAACTCAATCTACCGGAACGCGATGTTACGGAACCTGAGACTGTTTTGTTGTCCGGTTGAAGTGAATGGACTTGCAAGAGACCAGATTTGCTCTGATAAAAGAAAATTAAGAGAACATTTAATAAATGAGTGCACAAATTAAACAAACTCCTTGCTGTACCTCTTCAGCTTTTCAGAATGCAGTTACATTACACTTTGGTTGGTATAACGCGTTGTGTGAGGCTTGTGTAGTTCATAGCTTCAAGTTTCAAATCGATAAAAAGCACAATAAACAAAGTTTTATGAATGACATGGTTGTGCTTTCGGTTGTAGATCAAGCTTCATGCTTTACCGGACAATTGACTCAATAGATTCATAAACTCCATTTCGCCTGTTCGCCGAGCTTGGTAATTTGTTTGCAAACGTTTCATCACCAGCCGAGGTGACATCATCAGTGCTTGTGAAGTGGCCACTTCACAAGCACAGGCAAAATGGAATTCAGTTCACCCGAGCTACGAGAACCGATTTTCAATATTTTGTCAAATTCATAAACTCTTGCATCTACACAGCAGATACCGATGTGAACCATAGTCACAAATCTCAGTTGCGTGATAGGGGGAGAGATTATATAAAGGTTAATAAATAAAGGAGCCATGCACTTAATGAGCAAATAACCGGAATGTTATTCAGTGAGGTGTCAATGGTGCTATCTGTAACCATGGGCCTTGACAGAAAGCGCACTATAATTATCAATCATCCCTATGAACGCTTAATCTTGACGCGCATTTTTTCAGTGCATGGGTACTTGTTCTAACGCTACCCCTACTTCGTTCCAGGACGATGAACAGGCAATAGCTGACACTTCCTGAACTGTCTCACATCGACTTAGAGGAGTAAAACGAAATTGAGAATGTCACGGATGTTCGTGGGGAAATAAAAACCGTGGCTTTCATTTCATCAAAGTGATCGATTTTCACACAGCATCATATCATACCATCGAGTAACTCGCGAGTTCAAACCCCGCCATCGCCACTTTATTCTTCAACTTTTTGCTCCACGGCCTCCAACCGTCCTTGAGTATCCGTTTTGAAATTATTGTGATTTTTTGTTGTATGACCAATAAACGAAAGCAAAAAGTCCAACTTTCAAGTAAACTACCGGGAATCAGTGAAATTTGTTTTCAGATCGGAAAAAGCACAAAAATCTAAGGTACCAACAAATACTCAACTTATATATGTATTAATCGCAGACACATTGCAGGTCTTCCAGCGAACCGAAATGTATTCAACAACAAACGCGCATCACTCACCAATCGTAATAACGGACGGGTTTGAAGACTTTTATCGGAACGATCGCTGACAGCTTGACCCTCCACAACGACTGAATCTCGTGGGGTTAATTGAGAAACTTTAGATCCGGATGGATCAGCGTCCGCTCGTCGCGTCTCTGCAGCGCAATGCGATCGAGTCGCGTTTGTATCGCGGTCTATCAAAGAACCCATTCGAATGCGAGCAATGCGTTGATCAATCTCGGCCAGTTCTCGGCTGTGTAAGGAACCAACAGACAAAATGAATTATTCAACGCAAAGGGCCAACTGCATTGTGTATCTCATGCAGAGGAGGAGCTCACTCTATATATTCGATGTAAACGTTGTGATGACCAAAAATGAGCACTGTACAGTAGTTTTGTTTTCTTTGGGACCCATCAGTAGAGGATTCTTTTAACTTTCTTCTAAGTAGTGAAACTCACACCCAAGACCATCTTGAGTGGGTGGTTCAAACGACTAATCGAATGGGCTAATCTAAAAGGCGATACTCAGAAAAGAGCTCACTCTGTACATTAGGTATTGTTTGACTTCAATCTGGACGCCTTTGCTGACTGGTCTCAAACAAAGGTGCAAATCACGTTTTCTCACGCGTATTCTGCGACTATCATGTGATATACAGGCAGACACAACTAAGGTACAATGTTGATGATGTGAAACAAAGTTACACGGAAGTCGTGCACTAGATGCCGACTTCGCATTGGATTCCGTGAGATCGGCTGATAAGTAGATCAAGAAATCAAGTCTCACGATCAAGTTCGCACATTCTATTAGTGTATTCATCACTTTTCTTCGACAACATGATCTGTTCGTTCACATAATATTGTACGCATTCAAATGAGAACCGCTTTCCGTTTAGATTTGTTGGAAAGCATCGATCAAAACCACCGGATTGGCGATTCAAGGTGACGGAATGCGTGAAATAAATCTAAAATTGTGGGACTGTCGTTATTGCATCCTTAGAAATAACCAAAAAGAGAACAGATACCATCGGGAAAATCTTGAAGTAGCGTAACTGCGTACAGCTAAGTTTGTAAAAATAGTTTTCAACATAAGACCAGAATTAGCATACTAAAACGATTTAGTCAGGGAAGAACAAAGCAGTCGCATAATTTCTGACCGTTGGCAATACCGCAGCCTTTTTGACGCCGATTGCAATTGGAATATTTAATAGGACCAGTGTCTACAATGATGATGATTTGTCATAGTACCTTTGGCATCGAAAAACTAACCGTTCGGTAAAATAGAGTTCACTTTTACGTTGGACAACGTGTCTATAACGCATATAAATGCTTACTCATCTCATCGAGAGGCTGTTGTGTCAAAGAGAGGCTATCAGGGAAGACGATGTCTGATTCTGTCCCGTACCTATATGAGCTCCTTGGCACACAGGTGAATAAAGGGTTTAACTGATTGCGAAAAGTGATCTTGGTCGATTTCATCAAAACGCATTGAATTGATAGTGATAATAATGATCAAAAGCTTACAGTAATAATCTGTCGGCGCAAACGTGTTGCCAAGTGAGTTAAAATGAGTATAGTGAAGCGAAAGGGAAAGGGTACTGAAAAAATTTAAGATTGACCCAACTAAACAGGAGCATCGGGATTGGAGAGCAACAAATTAAAAATACAAAGAACTCCACTGAGACCGGAACTTTTGACTTACTCAAGCATTTCTTGTTGTTCCGAGAGCGAAGTGCCCTGAGAACGTGACGATTGTGCGCAACTTTCGTCAACCGCACCAGTCACTGTACGTGCTGAGGAAGGAAGTAGAACGGTTGGTGGAGCATAGTCCGGCCGATCTAAGATGGAGCGCAATGACTCCAATGGATTTCTGATTGACGAAACAGAAGTGACAGTACTGCCACCATCGTCACGCACACGGACTGCACGGCGACGTGCACGCAAACTGGGCAGTTCCGGACGTTCGCCGGGACCGAGATTCGCAGTTATTTTTTCTTCTATAAGGGCTATGTCGGGTACGTTGTGGTCATTCACCGAGGCGGAAGCGAAAACAACACAAAGGTAAATTTGTAAAATCAAGCATGTGATGAATCAAATATTGTAAATAGGCTTCAGACGAGAGAATAGGGATTAACAGTATTAGAGCTCAGATACAACCCAAGAAAGAATAAACATGAACGCAACCCGGAAAAAAATCTCAAAATCACTTGAAAAATCCAAATTCCTGTTAGCTGAAATTACGTTCCAAACGTTCGAATTCGACAGAGATGTTCGCTTAACTTGCGGATAACATAGGAAGTAAAAGCATAGCAGCAGTGTGTAATTCAATCAATGTGGTCAATGCTGGCAATGTACTATACTGCATACACAATGAGCACTCGACAATCGCGTCGTCCGCGTTTCGGACTCATCAGTGGTGTGTATAACCTTTGTGCCAAAGAGTCAAATTCAAAGATAACATTCTCAATTGAGATGAGCATATCGGAAAGATAATTGGTCGACTAAGATGAAGAACGCACGTGATATCAAGTTATTTAAAAAGCTCTAATCTTCGAAGTAAAATTCAAATGAGTGCAGTAAGATTTCATTTGTTGTTGCGGATTTCGTGAAACTGAACAATTCCTTCCCTGAATTCTATCACTGGGACCCGTTGTGAGGTTGTTAGAATTCACTGCCAGCACAGTATTTCGATGACTTAAGGTCCACAAAATTTTCCACGCAGGTCATCAAAAAGATCGCCACGGTGCGCGATGTTTGTCGACGCAGGTGGTGGGAGGAAAAATTAAAGGATGAACAAATTCATACTTATATTAGTCAGTAGATTAATACAAGGCCTAGGCTGATGTTGAATGAATGTCTGTGTGCAAAGTTATGTGTTGACAACAAGCTGTGGGATCACGATAATTGAATAGGGCAAAATGGAATGAAAAATGTGTGAACTGGGGAGGATATGAAATGTGTTAGTCCAGAGTGAATAAAACAGGTGTGAACGTTTGTGAAAAAGACAGTGAATGGGGAGTGGGGGGAAACGAGAGGAAGAGGATAGGTGCCACATAGAGATATGGGTAAATGTTATTATGGTCATGGTAACATCAGGGCCTGAACCAGATTACGTTGCTTGGACAACTCCGGCTTCATCATCCTAATTGCTATGGCTTCCGCAGTTGTCAGGATCTTTCTATGTAATCCTTTGGCGTGGTTCTTAGGTGCAGTGAAGAAACTCGTAAATGATGTTTCCGGGTCAATCTTGTGTCCACTGTCGACCAAATGTTGCAGGATTGCGCTGTTTAGGCTTCTCACTGTTCATTTTCGAAGAGCGGCCGGACAGTGTTCAGATATTCTCTTGGACAAACGCCTCGTTATGTCCGATATAACGAGCACTACAAGTGCACGTGAACTGATATTAACATTCACCCATATCTCTGTGACAC